TCCCACAAATAAGTTGTATTCCCTACAGAATTGTTAATGTTTATTTGATTATTTTCTGAATAATTTGGAAAGATTACTTTTATTTTCTTAGGGGTTTATAGGACATCTCCAGAGAGATTCCTCTATACTTGGTCTCTGAATGTATCGTGGGTGGCAAGAAGAATTAGGAATCTTCTTAAATCTGTAGTACAGACTTCAATTCCCTCAAAGGTCCTTGTTAAAAAAAAAATCATCATCTCAACTTCTTTCTTTTACACCAAAAGAAAGGTGTAAGAAATTTATTAAAAGATTTTTTTCAGACAGAAACAAAGTAAACATTTGTTCTTGTTTTCTTGTTTTCTTTCTTTAGGTCTTGACTTTTTTTTTTTTTTTTAAATGCAAGGATGCTGCTTAATACAGCAGTTCTAATCTAGAACAGCCAAAGCTGAATTTTTTCATGAGGCATTTGAAGCTCTGGAGAAAGTGATGGCTCTCTTTCCTGAAAAATATTGAAGGTGTATGTGGAAAGTGAATACAATCGGTCCCTAAAAACCTCCCAGATCTATGTTCTTTTTTGTCCGTCTCATATGCTATCCCTTTAAGTTTGGATTTTAAATTAAGTTATGCTCTTTGAAAATGAATTGCCTGTTAGTCAAAATAACTAATAATTTTTTTTATATGTAGTACAAAACTTTGGAAGATTTATAGAGGAAGAATCTGTGATTTTAGAAAATACAGCAAGAAAGGACATGGGGGCTTCCCATCTTCTTACCCTCATGTTGGATGAGCTGTGAAAGTAACACTCCCATTAACTTCCACCTGGGTTTTTTTGTTAAAATGCTGGAATTGGAGTTTCCTTACTCTTGCCTTGCAACCTGATCAGATTCTTAGTGCTACAAAGCTTTTCTCCTAATGCTTAGCCTGAACCATTTGTGTTGAAGTTATACATGACACTTCTTGACTTCTTTCCAATGGACAAAGAAAAGTAATTTGTGTCCTCTTTTTAAAGCGATCATTTACATACCGAAGAATGTTACCATGTCTTGCACTAATCTGATCTTCTACAGACTGAACAGCATCTTTACATAAGTCATCATTTCTGAGCTTCTAATTGTCTTTGATGTTTTTCTGAATTCTAATTAGTCCACATTTGTGTTGATGTTGTACTGTCCTAAGTCGTAGATACAACTCTGCTTGAAGACTGAGAAGGATGAGTAGTCAGAAAAGTACTGTAGATGACTTTGTACGATACTGCTGTTGTATATGAGTATAGCTGCTCTTTGCTGATAACTTAGCTTCATACTGCAAGTTGTTTTAAACATACTGCTGTTTTTCTGTAGAGCTTATCGGTCTTCCTCCCATGTTGTTACAATTGCTCTTTCTCAGATGAATAAAAGTTTGTGGTGCTTCTCACTAAATTTCTTTTGCTTCAAAAGTTTATTCAAATTAGTCAAGAAAATTGTAATTTTGATGCTTTTTTAAAAGCAGTTGTGGGCCTCTCTCTCGAAGACTCAATACCAAAAGCTGTTACAATCTTTAGATTAATAAAATACTCTCAAATTCTGTTACACAATAAATTATTAATGAGAACTATTTTAATCTACTGTTCTTAAGACAGTTCTCTGGAAAGCTGCACTTCTTCACCTATACTCCCTTCATCCATTTTTACCACGAACAATTGAATAGTGTATGAAGACAATTTTGCAATAGAGTATACTGCAATCTTACGGGTTTTTTTCCTATATCATACTTCCTCAGCTTGTTGGTGAAATTATTATGAGAAGCTATATAGAAACCTGTGCTAAAGTCCAGATACGGCACTTTGTTCTCCTTATTGCACAAGACCTACTTCTTTATGGGATGAAATTATTTTGATTTGATGATACTTAACAAATTCACTTTGGAATACTATCTCATTATTATTATCTCAATCCTTACAGAGAAATTGTTGTTCTAGTATGTACTTAAATCGTACAAACTAAGTGTAATGGTGAAGTACTCTGGGCAGTACTTTACCATCCTTTTGAAGGAACTGTTTTTCCCTTTTTCAGTCTGCTGGAGGCACAGATTCTCAAGATGATTATTACCAATTCTGAGATCGTTGTAGCTA